TCCAGTTGAATTTTTTGAGCTTAAATTTTGATAATCCTTTTGTGGATACTTGTCTTTTATTGATATGTGAATTATAATTATGTTTTCCCAGACAGAAGCATATCTTTTATCACCTTTCACAGAACAAAAGTTTCAGTTTTGATATGTTTGTTTTATAATTAATAAATATTAATTATCAATTACAGGTATATTCAGAGAGATAGTCACAGGTTTTCAAATAGGATTTTACCTTAGGATGGAAATATATTTAAAAATAAAAACCTGCACTGCTAATAAATGTCTAATATTAATTGAGTGCTTTCTATGTCCCGCCCCCCGCCCCATATGAGGCTGCTGTTCTTATTATAGCCACCTCACATGGTGAAGTAAGAGTGTACCCAGGCAAGCCCTCCAGAGGCACATAGCAAAGGTAATGATAGCAAAGGGTGATGCCTTACATAATTTGTGTTCACTTCAGAGAGAAGGTGGGGGATGGAGCAGAGAATGCTTAGATTTCTCAGTAGATCTATTATTTGACTAACAGAATGTAAGTATTCTCAGGAGTTATTCAGCATTTCTTGAGAAAATAGTGAATAGGCAGTTAGATGCATGCTTTTCCCCTGTGAAGTAACTATCCTCTATCAGACCTAAAACTCAATATCTCTCAAATAATTCTGCCCCAGGAATAACCATGGTATTCTGGTGAACTCTGAAAAGATCTCCATTTTCTAGTATCCAGAATACTATAATTCTTTTACAGGTGTAAAGTGGGATGGAACTTTTTGGTATATTCTCTTTTTTTTTTTTTTTTTTAGTAAATATGTTTTCAGTGGCCAGTTTCTATAACTTTCACAATCCCAGAAGCTAAAGCATTTGTTTTGTACTTAAATTTTTAAAGACAGCAAAAACAAAAATAATATTTAGAAGACTTTGATGTTATTTGTATACCTATTTGGAGGACTTGAAATTAATCATCCAAATTTTAATGTCCACAGTCTATCTTCTTCCTCACATGAATCTTTGCTGTTCCTCTTTTCTAAAGCTCTCACCTTTATAGTGCTCATTCTGTCAAAATTTAAAACACCTATTGAGCTTACTAAAAATTCAAATTTGAAAGATTATAAAAATATGCAGTGGTTAAAAATAATTTCTTCAATTTTTTTATTGTAAAATTACTTAAGAATAAAAAAAAAATACTGATGCTTAGGGCCAGTCCAAAACAGTTAAATTATAATTTCTAGAAGTGGGACCCAAGGATCAGTATATATGAATGGTTTTATAATAATTATAATTCACAGATAAAGATGAAACTTTTGAAGTAAAATTTGGTATGTGATGGAAAATATTTGGTGTTGCTATCTTTAGAAAGCCTCAATTTTAAATAAAAATACCTTTTAAATTTAATTCCATAAATTTAAATAAAAATACATTTTAAATTTAATTCCATAGTACATATTATATTGATCTTACTTTGAATCACTTACAAAATGAATTAGCCACATAAAATGAAGTCTTAATTCTTAATTGTAATACAATTTAAGGTGTTTTTAGTAACATGGGTTATATAGCTAAATTATCTTATTTAAAACCATTATGTAAATATTTCTTATATAAATTTGTGAGTTATTTCAGTTACAAGATAAACCACATAATGTTAACAAATTGAATGGTCTAAAAAATAAGCTGGTCTGTTTAAAACAAAATGTTCAAATAAAATATTATATTATTATTATTAATAGTATATATTAAAATAGTCTTTGGCTTAAAGTAAGGAATTTAAAACTTAAAGCATATGGATTAAATACATTTTTATAAGAATACTAAATTGGGTTTACAAAGTAATTTGCCTTTTAATAAAGACTTTTCAATTTAGATGATGACTTCTTTCTTGTTTCATTCAGTTATTACATTGCTTTATCTGTATATCCTTATCTCATAATCAGATTCAGATGATTTTAAAATTGATAAATATGTCTTGAATAATAAGATTATAATACTACTGGTATATTCTTTATATAGGTCCTATAATCATTTGTAATATTTTTAAATCTCAATCACTCTAAGGCCCTTTCTCATAAAATTATACTTCTTTGCATAGGATCAAGGGAATTTTTAGAAATTTGCTCACATTTGACCTATTTTCTCATGGCTATTGAATTAACATTTTAACATGGCTGAGTAGTTCCAATTTGCATTAAAGAACAATTAGTCCACTGCTTTGTGATTTATCTTTTGAAACATTAGCACAACAGAGATCTGATCCAGAATTATTTTAATATATGTTCAGTTAATTCTTCAGTATTGATGGGACTGAGTATATGATATTAACAAGGTCAAAATCTATGATGTAAAAATACTTAAACCAATAAACTTTATAAGTATGTGCTTTTAAACATGCATATATCAATTAATATAAAGCACATTTTTATCAATTTCTTAAATTTATAGTAGGCTTTGTGGAGGATTTCAATTCTATTTTATAATCTAGGGAATAAATGTACTCAAGAATATTTATAGGTAAAGTAATATATTTAACAGGAGAAACTATATGGGGTTCTAGGTAACACTTATCTCACGCACATATAGATTAATATAGAAACTTTAGATGTGTTTATTTTGTGAATTACAAAACTTCTGTTCTAAAACTATTCACTCTTCTAATTGATGTAGAAATTCAAGCCATACTAGGTGGACCAATTGAATTGCTGCTGTTTCTTTTCTAATTGTCACAGTTTCTGGTTACAAGTAGTCCTTCAAAAATTTCAGTTGTGAGCATAACTCTGCTAGGGAGAACTCCTTGAGATAATTTATAATTTCATAATGAACTTAATTAAATAATCTATTTACTCTATGCTCATGAACTGTATTTTCTCTTCTAGGTATTACACTAGACAGTGAAAATAATAAACTGACTTTGTCACAGCCACTTTCCTATGTGCATTTGTGGTCCAAAAGCAAAGCAGTTGAGTAATAGGCCTTGGCGATCTCTGACCCAATCTCTGTAACTTCCCTGTTCTGTTTAATTCTGCTTTAATATAACATGAGTTAGAGAAGAGAAACTGCAGGGTATTAGGTGGATGATAAGGTTCTGACACTGTAGGTTAATTTGGAGTGAGATATGAACGCATACTGTCTTCTGAAAAAGAGGTTAATGTAACTTAAACAAATGTATTCCCTAAGAAAGGTTAGACAAGAATATTAATTTAAATAATCCAGCTGAAAGAATATAATAGATAAGCTTATCAAAGTCAGGGGTAAAGCTAAAAGTATAAAAGTAATTCCTCTATAACGACTGGTGATGGGTCACAAATCTGACTCTGGTTTCTTTGCAGCAAAAGCAAAGAGAGAAATATGGCCAGTTAAAATTTTATATTTTGCACATATGGTTTTTCCTGGCATGGAGCCCTGAAAGAAATTTCTCCCAGGGGTCCTTGGATAAAGAGGTCACCGTATAATATACTGCTTTCCGACACTGTAACCTGGGAAGTCTAACAGGTTTCCTATGTCTACTTCTTAAAACATCTTTCATTCAAACCAAAGGCACCGTGCCAAAGCCCAATTCAGCAAAGAACATCAAGGAGGGACAAAAACACAGAAATCGGAAAATGCAGTTGTCTGATGGTTTAGCTTGATTGAGAGGTACAATTTAGAATACCCATGGGCATAGATAAACCACGTAATTTTAAAGGAATGCTCTATAAATAAATTTGTTCATTCAACTCCTGGCAAGAATTTGGCAACAGAAATGTATGATAGGTCAAGATCATTGTACTGTCATGTGTAACTAATTAAAACAAAAATATTATATATATATATAATTTTATATATATAAAAATTATATATAATTTTATATATATAAGAAATATTGGAGTTGTATTTTGTGCAATTAATCTGTAATACATATATTCCTTATTTCTGACAAAAGATGAAGTTGTGATCATGGCTATTAGACAACTAAGCCAAAGACAAAACCAGTTGCTTCTTAGAAAATTTAGTGATCTGAATTTGGATTTATCTGCTACATGAAAGGGTGCATCAAGGTGTTTTAGGTAATTGCAGAATAACTAAACTTTCCCTCATAAAATTGAATGTTAAAGGTTTTCACCCTCATGGTATTACATCAAGCAATATGACGATGGTCATTTTTCTTTGATTTTATTTTCTTAGTATTTCCTTAGTAATTAAATTCAATTTCCCTCTCTCATCATTGAAAAAATATCTAAAATCTGTATCCCTGCAATTTCTAATTATATGCATTGTGATTTTTTTCTGGTGAAACTTGTAGTCTTCTAGTAGCAAAGCTTATCAGGAAATAACTGAAATAGTCTACAAAATTGTTGGATTATTTCTACAGGTTAAAACTGGTTGGGTAAATCAGTGCCACTCTGATTTGCAACTCCCTGTAGATAGGAATTAATTAGGCTATGTTTGCACATCTCTGGGTGCAATTGAACCTATGTGGTTTTCTCCAGTCTTCTTTACTTCCTTCCTCTCTTTCCTTTTAATTTTTTAAGGAAAGCTATCATTTGTGCCTTCTTCACTTTATCCTTTGAGTGAGCGCCAAGGAACTTCTTGTTGGTTTTATGCCTAGGTACTTGTCCACATATGCTTTTACAGAGTAGTTCTGGGTCACAGAGGCCTACATGGAACCACAGAGATATTGTTATAATGTGGATTGTGATCTTGGTGAGCGTGCCAATAATACTGTAGATATGTCCTGAGAATACAGATTTCTTAACTGCTTTTGGTACTATTCTCTTATCTGTAATATGGAGCTTTCAGTCCTCTCAATGTCACAAAACTTCTCTGATAATCAAAAGACATACTGGGTAAGGGCTTATAAAATTATCTTTTTCATCCAATTAGACAGTATAGCACTATTTTCTTATTAGCCAAGTTTTAATTTTAAGGCAAATATCTGAGCTTTCAACTCATTTCTTCCCCACAAATCCAGTGGTGCTCAGTGAATATTGCTATTCAAGTGATTGCTATTATGTTTAAGTTGTATAATTTAATTACAGGTCTATCGATAGACTATGTGGAAAACAAGCTTTATTGGATCAGTTCGGGAAATGGAACCATAAATAGATGCAACCTGGATGGTGGTAATTTAGAAGTAATAGAGTCAATGAAAGAAGAATTAACAAAAGCTACAGCCTTAACTATCATGGGTAAGTGTAATGATTCTATAGCTAGGATGCTTCTTATTGATTGGAGGTTGATTAATTGTGACCTATTAAAAGCTTGGGAAAGTTACTGCTACATTAACACCAAAAATACATTCAAATTGCACATCTTTATGAGAAGTTCTTTTTTTTTTTTTTTTTAGCTTTAGAAAACAGACTCATAAGACTACCCAGATTAGGAATTTATTGCTGCTAGCAATACTAACTTTTTACCATGATTGGTTCTTGCCTTACTGTGACTGGTACTTTTTGATGGTTCTTTTCTGGCTGTATTGTAGTGTTTTGAAGAGTAAGAACCTTGCATTTTCATCATAGTATAGTCAAATTTGCTTCATTTCTGTTTTTAAAGCATAGCTTCATCCACATAGATAATTTGAAAAATAAGGGAACAGGATCAATTTGGCCAATGAACGTAAGTTAATGAAATTATTCTCTCAACCCAATAATTCATCCTTAACTTTAGAAATGAACAGAGAGGTTTTACTGATTTCAGTTTCATTCCTGTGCCTTTTGTTCAGTTTTCAGGAAATAAAGGGGCCTGGAATATAAGTGATCAGGAACCTAAAAGACAGGAATGTTTTTCTTAGAACAAATAAAGAACTTCTGCCATATTGCATGGGAAACCAGTTTCTAAAATATAAACTTTAAAAAAATAATAATAATTTGCTTTTTAAAAAACATATACAAGTGAATACCAATAAGAAAGAAATACTCTTTGGTGAGGATGGCTCTGTTTTTGGCAGGCTTTCAGCTAAAGTTCATGGTGAGTCAGCTATGAAGATTAATATTTTATATAAATATCAATAGTTACATTTTGTTACAGGATATCAGAAAAATGTCTTTATATTTGCAATTCCTAATGTTGTGATATAATCAGGATAACTTATACTACTATGAAAAGTCAGTTCCAATATATTTTTAAAGTTTATTTATATAGATAAGAAATTAGATCTTTTAATTTTATATATCCTATAATCTGTAATTTTAGTCCTTTGATCATTTCCCAGATTTAAAATGAGCTTTTTTGGCGGGGCAGGTTGGGTAACTAGAGATTGAACTCAGGGCACTAAACTACTAAGCTACATCCCCAGCCCTATTTTGTATTTTATTTAAAGACCAGGTCTCACTGAGTTGCTTAGCACCTTGCAGTTGCTGAGGCTGGATTTGAACTCATGATCCTCTTGTCTCAGCCTCCCAGCCACTGGGATTATAGGGATATGCCACTGCGCCAGACTAATATATGCTTTTTCTTTTTTGGGGTAACAATTTTAATTAGTATATGTTTATGAGTAACTAGTTATTAATGGAAAAATGTGAAAATTCATTTTCATAATCATTAACAATATCTGGCCAAAAGTAAAAAAAGTTTAGATTAAAAAGATTACATATCTTACACAAAAATTTGTGTAAGAAAGAATGAGTCTCCTTTTTTATTTTGAAGGAGGGAAAATGTATATATTAGCTAACCATTAATGGCTCAAGTGGTCTCTATGTCATTTTTATAATTTGGATGTACAGAAATTAACTATGTGTGCCCATGATACAAAGTTGTGAGAATTGCTTGTGAGATGTATGTGGAAATACTTTTTTAAAAGTTTAGCTCTGTGCAAATGTATGATTTGAAATGTTACGCCTCTTGGTTCAATCTGTTAAGCCCTCTCCATTTGTATCACAGTGGACATTTTTAGATGTGAGATGTGATGCTGCAGCAGCTGTTTCAGTGCCTTTTTTTGTTGTTGTAGTTTTTTCTAAATTGCTCTTCAGCTCTCAGTTTTATGAAGTTTTTCTTTTCAGTTTCTTAGAGCCTAAATTTTTAAACAATAGTTTTTTCTCCTCTAGATGAGAAACTGACGTGCATAAATCAAATCAATTTAATTAATTTATTTTTAAAAATATTTATTTATTTTTTTAGTTGTAGTTGGACACAACACCTTTATTTCACTTGTTTATTTTTGTATGTGGTGCTGAGGATCAAACCCAGGGTCTCGCAGGTGCAAGGCGAGCACTCTACTGCTGAGCCACAACCTCAGCCCCAATTTAATTTATTTTTATTTTTAGTCTTTGGGCAATTCCTATGCTGTTCATTTGGCAACATGTTGACATTCTTCTCATGTGTGTGTCCAGAAGCTACATACACACACACACACACACACACACACACACACCCATACACATTGTAACTGATAGTTGTGTTATTTTAGAGTAATAGTTTATTTAGAACTGTTCTTTAACATCTATAATACTATCTTAAAATTATGTGTGTATTTCATTCAGCTTTGCCAAATTAATAAGAACATTTATTTTATGTGTATTTTTGCATATCTTAAACCACTTGAATAAAAATAAACAGATTAAACTCAAAAAGTGGTTGAATAATCACATTATGTTTTCAAAAATTGAATTCCATTATACTTTTTGAAATCAACCCCAAATAGTAAACAATCTAAAATAACCCAGTAAATTACAGGAAACCTGTTAAAAGTCAGACAAAACATTTCAAGGATATTCGTTGAATTTTAGTGAATATGTGTATATTATATATGGTGTGCAATATATAGAATTTATATATGGAAGTGTATAATAAAAATATCTATAAAAACCATGACCTTGAAGAAAAATTTAAGACTTTATTAAGGTTTATTTCCCCTAATATGAATGCTAAGACTCTGTTCTAATGAGGAAGTAAATGCTAACTTTACAGAACTTAATGATATGAATAGTTTCAAAAATGGATCAGGGAGTCCTTTTCAGCAACAAAAAAAAGTCAGATGCTTTTTCACACTTTCAGAATGGAAGAAAGTTTGGGTAAAATCATAATGTGTGTGTATATAATGTGTCAAATGTTTTTGAATCTGATACAGCATCAGCTGTTCATGGGAACCTGCTTTTGTACAATTTAAAATCTATAACAAGTACATGGTTATATATACATACTTCCCTAGGCCACCACAATGTAATTAAACCTAAAAATGAAAATAAATACAAAAAATAACCTATGAAGGCCTGTACTGCCAACATACTACCTGGATATGTCAAATACTTCTAGCAGTTCAGGTGTTTAAAATACAGAGAACACAACCAAAGAGAGTCATAAGGCAGGAATCTCTGTGAAGTTTCCTGGCAAACTCTGAACTCTCTTTTCTGTTCAGACTTCCTTTCCTTTACTCTGAAACTCTACTCTTTCTCTTTGAGAATGGAAGAAAAGGGTGATGACTGCTTCCTGCTGAGGATGAATATTATGGCCACAAAAAGGCAATAAAAAAGTAAAACAGAGCAACCTCGCACTATCCATGGGATTACTGATGATTGCAGCTACAAATGTTTTTAAAAAATTGCCTAGAGTGCTACTGAAATTATATATCCAGAAAACAAAAAAATAATTGTGCTGTGAAGGGATTCCTACATATAAGTGTATGACAGCTTCCCAGAGAACACTAGTTAAGCAATGGATAACAAACAACTGGGTATTGGTGTTTCACTAAAATTTAAGAGAGCTTTTCCTAAAACTAATGGAGAAATGTCTTAATAAAATTTTAATCAATTATTAATCTTTGATGATTATGAATTGTAATGCTTGGGGTTCCCAGTTTTCTTGAAATAGTAAAATCAAAATAAATGAAAAGAATTTTGAAATTTTAAAGTTAGAGAAAGTAGAAGGTAATACCCAGGCAATACCCAGATCAAAATAAAGCAATTAATTGATGATTCCATCAATCCTCAAACCCCAAGAATGAGATCATTTCAAAAATGCTTTTATATTTCTCCCCTCAAGAAGTAGAGCTTCATTTCCCTCCTATTAAGTGTGGGTTGCACTTAATGACTCCTTTTTAATAAACAGAATGAGGTAAAAGGAATAATGTGTAACTGTGGAGACAAGGTCATAAAAGGCAGAAGACTTCTTGCCCTCCTTCTTGGTTCACTCACTCTGAGCAAAGCCAGCTGTCACGTTATGGAGACTACCACGCAACTCAATAGGGAAACACACACAGCAAGAAACAAGATCTCCAGCCAACCCCAAGTCAGTCAGTCATTTCAAACCAGGAGTCCTAGTCCTGGTCAGGATTTCAAAGGACTAAAACGAAAGACAATAAGATCAATTGCACCTCAAAGGAAACTCCAAACAAGAACCACCTACATAACTATCCCATATTTCTGACTCTTAGAGAAATCATGTGAGATAGCAAATACTTATTGTTTTAAGATGCTAAGCTTTAGGGTAATTTGTTATATAGCAATAAATAACTAATTAATGTATTACTCCATCCCCAGAGTGCTCATTTATTTGTGAACAATCTTAAATATGAATGCTTAGTAAAGTCAGGCAGATTGTAAATATGTGAGTTCAGTCAGAGTAACATGAGGGTGAGGGAGAATGGAGTGCAGGCTTCAATAGCTGGACTCACTCTGGAGGGGTGGGAAGTGTGATAAATAGAGACGACAAGTGCCCCATGTAAGGTAGAAAACCTCTCAGCTCCACTCATTTTTACTCTAAAGAACATAAATCTTTTGTGACAAATACTTCATTAAAAGAAAAGCAAGCAACCCAGACTTTCATTTAAAAACTCACAACTTTTAAAGGTTAGAAAGTGATCATTTCTTTTTAGAAAACCACCACACAGGCTAACACACTGTATAGGCTGACTGCGATGGCCAACAGTGTACAAGCCAAGACAACTGCTACCACAACTCCCTGTTGTTCATTTGGTCCTTAAACCAGTTGCCACCTCCAATTTGTTCATCCTTTATATGGTGATATTGAATTGTTGAGATAAGAAAAGTTAAGATGGCCAATACCTAGCTGTGCCATTGCAAGGGATTGGGCGGGAGGGGGGATTAAAACATCACTTGGCAGAGCTGGCATCATTTACAGAAGAGAAAGGGCTTCTCTTATAGAGGACAGTTTATATGATTTCTCTCCAAGGTTTTGTGATCCTCTCTGGCCAGACCTTGTATTCTGCCTAAGTATATGAAGAAGAACACACCAA